CTGCAGCCGCACCTGCCGCGGCAGCGTGCCGGCCTCTCGGGCAAAGTGGCTGAACGCCCCTCATGCTCATGGCTCGTGGAAAGAAACACACAGCTGCCTGGGTGTCCCCGAAAAAAAAATGGGACATTCAAGCCCCTTTCGGCGCAGTGCTCACACTCCAGTTACATTTTCTGGTGTATTCTCCAAACTAGAACAAAGCAAACTCTCACTGGTCTCGATCCTTGCCGTGATCTCAAGAAGAATCCTCGTGCAGTTCCTGAGATGCAAACAACCCTTTCGCACTCCGGCTTCACGGCGGCAAAACCAGAACCGCCTCCCTCTTAGCACCCCCCTCAGGACAAAACTGCGAAAGGATTGTCGGAGATGGATGTATGATGCGGACAAAAAGGATCCTGACATAGTTTTGATGTCCCTTCGAACACCAACCAAGAGAGGCCCCCGTTCTGGAATGTCGAAACAACGCAACCAAGCTGAAAGATGGGAGCCATACTGATTGAATGACTCCGAACATCATGCGCACATGTCAAGTCTTGCTCCTGGCAAAGAAACGGGCTGCATCGAGGCCTTGAAACTAGGGACCCGCTTCAACACGTGAAAACCTGGCTTAGGGCTTCGGGCATGCCCGTGCCACCACCCGGTCGCTTGAACCTGGCTAGCTCTGCCCCCCTCCCCGTAAGCTACGGCTGTCAAAGAACCCCAAAAGGGCCCCCCACCCAAAGGCAAAAAGCGCCCGGGATCGAATCGGTTCTGTTCTGGCCCGTTTGGGATTCCACGTCAGGGCCTTGCCATCCGACACCCATCTCGGTATTCGGGAGCCTCCCGGTACGACACCCAGCCCAGGAGCTAGCCCAGTCCCAGTCTGACCAACTGCTGCTGTTGGACGTGTGGGGGTGTGTCTGTCTCCCGATCCTGAATCAAAATCCCATGCCTGGCCACCTCGTCCCAGAAACTCTGACCAGAATTTCAAAAAGCATTGAAGATGCCAAGCTGGCACCCTGCTCCGAGGGATGCAAACTGATGCGAATTGGTTCCACCTCAGCTCGAGTTCTGTGGACCAAAGTCACCTTTCAACTACTCTGCCAAATCCAAGGTGACCTGAGGTTCACGATTTCTCTTTGGAAACAAATGACCCCCCCACCCCTGTGGAACAACGAGAGACACCGGAAAACGGCAGCCTGCGATTGCGGAGATCGCGGGCCTGGCGTTCGGGTGGGTGACGCGAAGTGGTCGCGGAACAACTGAGGGATGCTAGAATCAAGGACCTTTTCGGATCTTCAAAGAGCACAAAAAGGGAAAACGCCAAGTAATGTGTGGGCGCCGACTGTATGTGAAGAAACTCCCTGGCTGGCTAAACCAGTGCCGGAAACGACTCTTGAGCATCAATGCTGTCTATGCCTAGAAAGTATTCAGCTTGTTGAGCCTCAAGCCACAAACCAAAGTGGCAATTAACATGTCCAGCCCACGTGGCTTCTGTCTCTGCGCGGGGCTCCCAAAAAGCCACGCCGGGTGGGGCGGTTACCTATCGGAAACAAGAGGTTAGACCTTTTGCTGTTGGCTGGCCTAAAAACACAAAAACGCACCCACCAAGAAAGGGGGCACCCAAACCAAATGCTAAGTCGACCCTAAACAAGCCCTGACACTACGTACCCCAAACCAAGGCTGAACCGTAAGAACATGGTTGTGAAACGTTGACCCTTTCTGTGACACAGAAAGCGACGGCAAAAGCATGGCTAACCATAACTACGCCTTAGGAACAAACAGCCGGTGCCGCTCGGCCACTGGAGCCAAGGAACATCGTCGCGCCTGGCGCCCAGTGCGCTGGCGCCCGTGCACCTCGTTCGAGAATTTGTTCACGGCCGTTGAGCCACAACTACCTTGCAGCAATGGCCGGACCAGTTATGCAAATGTCATCTCAACCAGTTGAGATGACATTCGTTTGCAGCCAGTTTGGCACATATCTGGGCAACTTTCTATTCACATGCTGGAAGTAAGGATTCTCAAAAGATCCCAATGCCTCCTCAAAGCCTCCAAATCCAGTGGGCTTGTCAACCATATTGAAGGGTTCCAGGGTGTACTGTCCCCCAAGCCGGTTGAACATCCAGGAAGGTGTCGAGCCACTGCAAGACAAGAGACCAGCCGTGGCTGCTTTGAGGGTACAGTTTGTAAAGAAAAAAAGAAAGGGGATCCCAAAAAGACGCATCGAGGGGTCCGCTGCCAGTTTGGCGACATACCTTCCAACACGAAGCCTTCCAACCACTTCATTTCGCACCTTGGGCCCAGCGTCGCAAACAGCTCCCCATCCTGGCGAATTGAATTAATTTATAAACTCTCATACACCCCCACCACACATGCTAAGCGTTGCCCCAGAGTGCAAATATTCGCTGCCCCCCCCCCCAAAAAAAAGAAAGAACTGTTTTCATTTGTGGGGGAATGGGAATACAGGTGAATTCTGTAAACAGGTGGGTTTTGGACTTTTTAAAAAATGGGGGGGGGGGGGGGGTACCACATATCTTCAGAAGCCTCAGGAATCCTCCAAACCAAAACGCCTTCGAAGCCCGGAGAACTGGGCGCTGCGCTCGGCTTCAGCGGCACACCCGAGCTGTGCCGCCAGGCGTAGAAGTCCCCCGAGCCTCGGGTCTTGCTGGTGTTCTTCTTTTTTTTTGTGTTGGCTGCTGGGGTCTCGGTTTCTGTTGGTAATTACTCTATGTGTTTATACGTACATATATATATATATATTGCGGTTATATGTACATTATATATATGTGTATATGTACATGGATGGTGCCTGGTGTTTGCTGCTTGCTACTTGGAGTTTGGCTTGTTCTTCGTGCAGTTGCCTCTGTATGTTGCTTTTAGCAGAGGTGAAGCCACGGATGTTCCGCACGAAGGTCCCTCAGCTCTTGTCCCCTCGTCCCTCCCTTCTCAGATCGCCCACACGTTACTGCAAGGTTGTGTGGTGGACCTTGGCGGCGTGATCAGTATTTCGGCTGATCTGTGTTCACAGGGGAAACAGATCGAGGAAAACCATGCCATGTTGAAATGCCCTAAACTACCAAAAAAAGGGGACCCTCCAAAAAAAGACGCATGGAGCTTTGTTGTTGGAAGCACCATTTGGCAGAATCGGGCACCCTTGAGGACATCCCTTTTGTGAGGGGAGGCCGGTCAGGGTTCCCATTTAAGAGGTGATCTTAAAGACGTTTGGGGCACATCCGGCTTTCTCAATCCGCCTCAACGTTACTCAATTGGGAACCCACAGTCAACCTCTTGTCGACTAATCCCATTTGCAAGGAATCCTTTACTTATGTTCTTGGGGGAACTTGGGGTCCACCTTATGGTTTGGTGACCGACCAACCAACCAGCCACCCATAGAACCAGACCCAAGAAAAAAAACTGCCCTGGGAAATTCAAAAACTCATCCCTGCCCCCAAACAAGAAAAACAACTGGCGCTGAGCTTTGCGGTCTCCTTTTGGCAAACCCATTTAAGGCAAACCCAAGGGAAAAAATGCCAACTCCAAACAAAAGGTACCAACCTTAGAAGGGAACCCCCACTCATTTTCAGCCCACCGCCCACGGTTTGGGCAATTCTTCTCCACCCCCCCTCCCCCCCCCCCCCCCACTTCCCACCTCCGCAGCTCGTTGCCGGGGTCGGCCTGCGACCTCGCCCGGAAAGCCCGGGTGGGCAAAATAGTTACCCGGAGTTCCGCTTTTATCCTACGAAGCCAATGAAACCAAGAGTCTAATGTCTAGCCACTGGGAAATGATGCGAAGCCACTGAGATCAGTGGCACTAGTGTTTACTCAACAGCCCGAATGGCCTGTGGCTCTGGCCCCCAAATCAGTTGAGATGGGATGTGCCACGCTGGACTTGGGCATGGTAACGGCAAACCCCTCAGACTGGACGTGCTGGAAGCACTTTAGAAATCTCTCTCCCAGCGCAACTTGCTGTCCACTTAGTTAGTAGGCAAACAGCCAGAAGCGCAATGCATTGACCGTACCGGCCTGGAAAGATCTGAGGGTGGCCTTGCATCCCCAAACAGCGAATCCCAACCACCCACTAAAGTGCAAAGCGAGAAAGTAAGACTGCAAAAGGTTCATTTGCAGGTGTTGGGGAGGAAAAGGCCACCCGATTCCACGCCGAAGTGCGCGGCCCCTTTTCAGAATTCTGACTAGAAAACTCCGTTTCGGGAAAGGCCTCGGTGTAGTTCGATGTTGGATTGTGGAATGGTACAAGGCTCAAAATATAGTCCTAGTTGGGGAGGAAGAAACGTTGGCATGTTGACTTACCCCATGATTGGACTTGGGCTCTATCCTGAAATGCATCGCTTCAAGTCATGTTTGTTTGCACCGCGCTAGTCAGAAACCGAATGTAAAATAACTTGATCTCAGGGAAGAGAGGGGATCCAGAAAGGCTGCATCATGGCCATCTCTCCCCTGGTTCAACCTTCCGTGTGCCGCGGTCCTGGTAGGAAAAAAAACATTTGGAGGCTGTCAACCAAGTTTTGTGGCCCTCTGCCATGAGCTCGAAGTTCATCCGCACCATGCCAAAGCTTCACGCGGGTCTCTCGCGATTCTTTTATGAACCAGACATGAACGACATCCCTTCGGCTTCCTATTGAATCAACCCCAAAGGTGTTCCTTGACAGCTCCAAACATGTTTCCCTTTCAACCCCCAACAGTTAAATCGGGTATCATCCAAAAAAATCGGGGATCACGAGCCCACATCCAGCTGCATGGACCACGCGGGGCCCACGCCTCCCGGCGCCGAGAGAGGCCTGAGGAAAGGGGCGGGGAAGTCGCCGCCGGTTTCGTGGGGTTTGAAAGGGAAGCCTTTGGTAAGCTAAAAGGATACCAAAGGCAAACCAATGCCAGGTTTGCCTTTTCAAGGAGACAACTCCAGATGAGAATCAGCAAAAATCAGGAAGTGCTCCAAAGTGTTTCAGTTCGATCTCAACGTTTGGCACATGGTCGGCATTGCCACAATGAAAGAGCCCCCCTTGCAAGCCTGGTTCAAAGTCGTCTTGTGCCAGGGTCCGAAAGAGGGCCTCTCATCTTGTCCAACTTCCCTCGAAATCACGGAAAAATCCAAGGTGGCCCTCCTTGCGGCCGTTGGGATTCAAAGGTCCTTCCAACATCACTTCGTTTGCAGCCCGGGAAGCTCTTGACCACCAACCCCCAGGCTTCTCGATGAATTCAAAGCCTTCGAGCTCTATGGACACAAATGCCCGTCAGCTTTGGGAGTACAGAATCCTGATGAGGGTTGATACCTCCTCGCCACTCCAAATAGTACTCCTTCCGGGCAGCGTTTCGTAGTGTGTGTGGCATGCACAGTCCGCAGGCAGGAAACGACACAGCAACCCCGGCCCATACCCAACTGATAAACGACCGGTTGCGGCAGAGGGTGTCTGCTTTGGAAGATGACTCGTCCTACACCCATGGCAACCACGGACCATTCCGATCCGAAGGACGGGTTTAGAAAGTTTAGGGTTGAGGCCTCCGGAAAGCGAGAAGGCCGCGGATTCATCCAAAGCACAGGTGGGACTTTGGGAGTCCACGTTCCACTAATTTTTAGGGGACACGTTCCAGGGATCCGAATCTTTTTCAGAAAACCCCTCGGAACCCCATGGGAAACAGCGATCGGGTTTTGAAAGGAACGATGGTCGAAAAGAATGGGACATCAACCCCTCGAATTTTGGGAAACACCCCCGGAGGGCTCAGATCCGAAGCCTCCCCTCCCGGACAGGGCCTGCCCGGCGGCTTCTTGGGCGCCTGGGCAAAGCTGAGCGACACAAAAGGTCCGATCGGCCATCCCAAGAGACTGCACCAAAAACCAAGCTCGAGCCACTCCCTGAGGATTTCTGAGGCCACTGAACCTCAACTTTGGGCCCTGGAACTGGCGTGATGTCCCGTAACGCCTTCCGAAGCGGAGTCCCCGGTGTTCAGGACCCCAACAGGCACGGGGGGATGGAGGACCGAATGTGCCGAAAGAATGGATGCCATCCGACGAGGACAAGAAGGGCCGGCTCTTTCCAGGTGGCTGCAAAGCCGCCAAGTGCACACTCCCCCTTCAACCCCAAAAGAACAGGAGGCACTAGTGCTTCTTTTTGTTCCTTTTTCTGCTTGTTTTCTCTTCTTCTTCTTCTTCTTCTTCTTCTTCTTCTTCTTCTTCTTCTTCTTCTTCTTCTTCTTCTTCTGTTTCACCGAGAACCCCAAAGACCCTCGTAAGAGCTTCAGTTTAAACCACTTCAGATATGGACGCGACCTCCACTCTGATGTCTCTGCTTTCGCCCATGGCTTGGGTTGAATCCATTGGATGGCTTTTTGTTGAATTTCCGCATGTCGCAATTCCACCAACCACCATCCACGGGAAAATGCAGATGTTGGTTGTTCTCTACATTGAATAGTGAAGGCATCCAGCGTACCCAGGTTTCAGACGCCCCTTTGCGCGCCAAACACATGCAACATACTGGCAGCCTTGGTCGCGCTGGTTGCCGGCGTTTCCCGAAGAAGCGCAGTGATTGCTCAGGACCATGCCCCCTAAAAGCGTTTATTTCGGAGATGCTGATGACATGAACCAGATGTTTGAACACTTTGTGTTTTTTTTCCGCATCAGATTGTTTATCACCAGCTCTTGCTAAAAAATACCCAAGTGAACTTGCGGCGCTACTTGTCAGGTCGCTATGATAGGCCTAAAGAGGTCCTCACGTGCCAAACTTATAACAAGTAGGTCCAACAGTCAAGGCTTTGGCGAAATGGCTTCTGGTCGAGAACTACAGGTGCCCAAGACAGCTCGGGTACTCCAAGAATAAGATGTTCTGGTTCTGTTCCAAATCCAAGTCTACCTGAGACTTGGATTTGGCATGGAAGAGACCCCAAACAGGGCTGCCTGACATCAAGGAAACAAAGAGCCGGCGCGAAGAGTCCCCAAATCTCACGCCTGCATGCGCAGACTGTGCCGATCCAAGACTTTCTGTCGGTGTTGGAGCTCCTGGCAGAAATCCCCGTCAGCGTTCGAGTCAAGCTAAAGCGGGTTCATGAGAATCGAGCCATGTTGCCATGGGCCCATAGAAGAGCCATATGGAATGACAATTTACTGGGATGAAGAACCTCTTTCCTGTTCGAGTATATTTACTTTCATCCAAGACAACTCACTTGGTTTAATCTCACATTAAGCTGGACAAGTAAACAATGAGAAGGAAAGAACACGGAGGCCGAGAAACAAATGGCAAACTACCATCAAGATCGAACATCGTTGCCAAGAACACCCCCAAGAGGGCCAAGCTCAACAGGCGACTGGCGACTGGATGCCAATACCTTGTGCTCACTTGGGAGGCTGCGTGATCCTTTGACAAGCTTAGACTCTGGAGGATCATCTTCGATTGGCAAGCAACCCCCATGTTGCACATGGCGGTGCGTGCGTGTTTGTGCGTGTGCTTGTGCTTCCGCTGGTTGTGCTTCCGCTTCGGGTTGTGCTTGTGCTTGCGCTTGTGCTGGTGCTTGTGTCTGCGCTTCTGGTTGTGCTTGTTCTTGTGCTTGTGTCAGTGTTTGTGCTTGTGCTTGTTCTTCCGCTTCTGGCTCTACCGTGTTTGTGCTTGTGCCTGTGCTTGTGTCTTTGTTTGTACTTGTGCTTGTGCTTCCGCTTCTGGTTGTACTGTGATTGTGCTTCTGCTTGTGTCTTTGTTTCTACTTGTGCTTGTGCTTGTGCTTCCGCTTCTGGTTGTGCTTCTGCTTCGGGTTGTGCTTGTGCTTGTGCCTGTGTCTGCGTCTGTGTGCGCTTGTGCTTGTGCTTCCGCTTCTGGTTGCCGCTGAACTGGAACGGCAGCATTGACGAAGCTGGTGGTCGTTCTAGCTTTCACCCCTCTACCCTCCCCCGCCGGGGTGGACCACAAGCACAAGCACAAGCACAAGCACAAGTACAAACAGACACAAGTTTAAGCGCAACGCAAGCACAAGCCCAACCGGAAGCACAGGCACATGGATCAGTTTTCCGCTGCTGCGTGTGCCCTCTCTCCTGGGCTGTCCTCAGATCCCCCGCTAAAAGTTTAACTTTTCGTGGGTCAAGAACCGCTAAAAGCTAAAAAGCTAAGGGGATGGCTGGGAGCCACCAAGTCTCTTCACTTTTGTTGAGGCTTGCTGGCTGCGGTTCGCACTCGTGCTCGCTGCTTCGCATTGCTTACTTGGACTCCCACATTGGCTCGCCCGGACAACAAGCTGTGACTCGGGAGTCGTTCCATTGAATGTGCCTGACGCACTGAGACGGCTTGCAGAAGCTGAGCAACAAAGAGAGGGCCAGCGTCGAGCAGCCGTTGCGCGCAAACACATCTTCGGCGATCCTGAAAGGTAGCAAAAAGAATCAACCATACACATCCCTTGGACATTTCTGGGGAGTGGCGAGCCAAAGGCTGTGAAGAGTGGCTGCCATTCAAACATGAGCGACAGCCTGCAAAATTCAACAGCTGCCAGACACCACGCGATTTGCATTTGTTGTCCCTATCTTAAGTTCCCATTACTTGTCATGTGGCTGTGAGTCAAAAATAGGTACCCCAAACGGAACCCCGGTAAATGCAAAGAAGGACTAAAACCTGCGGTCCAATTCCTGGTGGTTTACTTTTGACCCATACCCATGTTCCCTGTTCCCCAACTTGACACCTCGTCTTCGAAGCCCTCTGTCCTTCTCCTTTTGCCAGGTAGTCAACTGGGAACTCCTGTAGCTCCTCTCGAGGTCATCCTTGCCGGGACTCCCCGGACTCTCTCCGCATGTGGCCATGGGTCAACAGCCAAAAGCCCGTACCCCCAGTGAACCTCCCAATCCAACCACTAACATAGGTTCTAAAATGGGTGGTAAATTCACCTACCCCAAAATGGTACCATTGGTTTTGAGCCACAGCCATGTGGGAAGTCACAACCTTAGCAGAATCAAACATCAGTTCACCGACAGCGCGATGATCTGGCCAGAAGGCTCAGTGTAATGGGCTGACAACCAAATCACATGCCCAGCCAATGAACTTGACTTGCTGGAACGTACATGCGCGCATGCCTGGCAACGTGCAGTAGAAATGTACCAACTTCGAAGAATCCTGCATTGCCAGGTCAAACCCAATACCATGTCAACCCGCTTGGCGCCAATGCGGATTCCAGCGAATTGGGTCAGGTCAACGTCGTGTGTGTGTGTGTTGTGTGTGTGTTGTGTGTGTTGTGTGTGTTGTGTTGTGTTGTGTGTTGTGTTGTGTGTTGTGTTGTGTGTTGTGTTGTGTGTTGTGTTGTGTGTTGTGTTGTGTTGTGTGTTGTGTTGTGTGTTGTTTGTTGTGTGTTGTGTGTTGTGTGTTGTGTGTTGTGTGTTGTGTGTTGTGTGTTGTGTGTTGTGTGTTGTGTGTTGTGTGTTGTGTGTTGTGTGTTGTGTGTTGTGTGTTGTGTGTTGTGGGTTGTGTGTTGTGTTGTGTTGTGTGTTGTGTGTGTGTTGTGTGTTGTGTGTTGTGTGTTGTAGGTTGTGTGTTGTGTGGGTTATGTGAAGGTTGTGTGTTGTGTTGTGTGTGTTGTGTAAGTTGTGTGTTGTGTTGTGTTGTGTTGTGTTGTGTTGTGTTGCGTTGTGTTGTGTTGTGTTGTGTTGTGTGTTGTGTTGTGTGTTGTGTGTTGTATTGTGTGTTGTGTGTTGTGTGTTGTGTGTTGTGTAGTTGTGTGTTGTGTGTTGTGTGTTGTGTGGGTTGTGTGTTGTGTGTTGTGGGGTTGTGTGTTGTGTGTTGTGTGTTGTGTGTTGTGTGTTGTGTGTTGTGTGTTGTGTGTTGTGTGTTGTGTGTTGTGTGTTGTGTGTTGTGTGTTGTGTGTTGTGTGTTGTATGTTGTGGGGTTGTGTGGTGTGTATGTTGTGTGTTGTAGGTTCTGCTGTGTGTTGTGTTGTGTGTTGTGTGTTGTGTTGTGTGTTGTGTGTTGTGTGTTGTGTGTTGTGTGTTGTGTGTTGTGTGTTGTGTGTTGTGTGTTGTGTGTTGTGTGTTGTGTGTTGTGTGTTGTGTGCATAGTGTTGTGTGTTGTGTGTTGTGTGTTGTGTGTTGTGTGTTGTGTGTTGTGTGGTGTGTGTTGTATGGTTGTGTGCTGTGTGTTGTGTGTTGTGTGTTGTGTGTTGTGTGTTGTGGGGTTGTGTGTGTTGTGTGTTGTGTGTTGTGTGTGTTGTGTGTTGTGTGTTGTGTGTTGTGTGTTGTGTGTTGTGGGTTGTGTGTTGTGTTGTGTGTTGTGTGTTGTGTAAGTTGTAGGTTGTGTGTTGTGTGTTGTGTTGTGTGGTTGTGTGTTGTGTAGTTGTGTGTTGTGTGTTGTGTGTTGTGTGTTGTGTGTTGTGTGTTGTGTGTTGTGTGTGGTGTGTGTGTGTTGTGTTGTGTGTTGTGTGTTGTGTGTTGTGTGTTGTGTAGTTGTGTGTTGTGTGTTGTGTGTTGTGTGTTGTGTGTTGTGTGTTGTGTATGTGTTGTGTGTTGTGTGTGTTGTGTGTTGTGTATTATGTGTGTTGTGTTGTGTGTTGTGTGTTGTGTGTTGTGTGTTGTGTGTTGTGTGTTGTGTGTTGTGTGTTGTGTGTTGTGTGTTGTGTGTTGTGTATGTGTGTTGTGTTGTGTTGTGTTGTGGTTAGGTTGTGGTGTGGTGTGGTGTGGTGGTTGTGGTGTGGTGGTGTGTTGTGTTGTGTTGTGTTGTGTTGTGTTGTGTTGTGTTGTGTTGTGTTGTGGGTGTGGTGTGTGTGGTGTGGTGTAGTGCTAGAAGTGAAGGTGTTGTGTGTGTGTGTTGTGTGTTGTGTGTGTTGTGTGTTGTGTGTTGTGTGTGTTGTATGTTGTTGTGTGTGTTGTTTGTGTTGTGTGTGTTGTGTGTGTTGTGTGTGTTGTGTGTGTTGTGTGTGTGTTGTGTGTGTTGTGTGTGTGTTGTCTGTTGTGTGTGTTGTGTGTTGTGTGTTGTGTGTTGTGTGTTGTGTGTTGGGGGTTGTGTGTGGTGTGTGTTGTGTGTAAGCTGTGTGTTGTGTGTTGTGTGTTGTGTGTTGTGTGTTGTGTTGTGTGTTGTGTGGGTTGTGTGTTGTGTGTTGTGTTGTGTGTTGTGTGTTGTGTGTTGTGTGTTGTGTGTTGTGTGTTGTGTGTTGTGTGTTGTGTGTTGTGTGTGTGTGTGTTTGTGTATTGTGTGTTGTGTGTTGTGTGTTGTGTTGTGTGTTGTGTGTTGTGTGTTGTGTGTTGTGTGTTGTGTGTTGTGTGTTGTGTGTTGTGTGTCAGGCTGTGTGTCAGTCTGTGGTGTCAGGCACAGTGTCAGTATTGTGTGTCAGTGTCAGTGTCAGTGTCAGGTGTCAGGTCAGGGTACAGCCTGCCAAAGAATAGTCAGGCTAGGTGTGGTGTGGCAGGCTGTGGTGTGGTGTGTCAGGTCAGGCTGTAGCCAGGGCTGTGGGTTGTGTCAGGCCAGGGCCAGGCTGTGGTGCGGGTGTGTGTGTGTGTGGTGTGGTGTACCCGTGGTCAGGCCAGGTGCGGGTCAGGGCCAGGCCAGGTGTGTGTACAGTGTGTGTGTCATTTTGTCCTCGCTCAGGCCAGGCTGCTGCTGCTCGCTTCAGCTCCGGCTTCCAGGCCAGGCCAGGCCAGGCTGTGTGCGGTGCGCAAGCGCAGCGCATGTGCATGCATGCGTGTGGTGTGTGTGGGTGTGTGTAAGTGTGTGTGTGTGGTCTCAGTGTGCTCTTGTGTCTCCAGTGTCTCCAGTGTTCAGTGTCTATGCGTCTGTGTGTCTGTGGCTCAGTGCGTGTCTGTGCCCAGGCTCCAGTGGTCTAGTGTCTGTGCGTCTGGTGTGTCCAGGCCCAGGTGTCTCAGGCCCAGGTCAGGCTCAGGTGGCCTGTGGCCCAGGTGCGTGCTCAGCAGGCCCAGGTGTGCGTGTCAGTGTGTGTGCCCAGGTGTGTGTGTCTTGTGTGTGTTCGTGTGGCTGAGGGCAAGGCTCTGTGTGTGTTCAGGTGTGCGGCTCAGGTACGGCTCAGGTGTGTGCTCCAGGCTCGCGTGTGCGCGTGTTCTCTTGTGCGTGTGTCTGTGTGTCTATGCAGCAGGCTCAGGCCCAGTGGCTCAGTGTAGCACTGAGGTACCAGGCATTCTGTGTGTCTAGGTGTCTAGGCCTGTGTGTCTAGGTGTCTGTGTTTCTCCGTAGGCTCAGGCAGCCCAGGTGGCTCAGGCTCAGGTGGTCTAGGCTCATGCAGGCCTGTGTGTGTGTGTGTGTCTGTGTGTGTGTGGCTCTGTGTGTGCAGCTCAGTGTGTGCGTGGCTCAGGCAGGTCTATGTGCCCTGAAAGTGGTAAGTAGTCTGTGTGTCTGCAGGTTTGTGTGTGTTGGCTCAGTACTGTGCAAGTGTCTGTGTAACTATCTGTGTGTGTGTGTCTAGGCTCAGTGTGTCTGTGTGTGCGTGGCTCCAGGCAGTTCATGCAGGTCTATGGGTGGCCCAGGCTCAGGCCTGGTGGCCCAGGTGGCCCAGGCCCAGGCAGGCAGCAGGCGTGTAAGTGTGTGTGTACAGGTGTGTGTACCAGGTGTAAGGCTCAGGTGGCCCAGGTATGTCTAGGCAGTCCAGGCCCAGGTCTGTGTTGTCCAGGTCTAGCCCAGGCTCAGGTTCCAGGCTCAGGGTGTCCAGGCTCATGCTGCGCACTGTGTGTGTGTGTGGCTCAGGGGCAGGTGGCTCAGGTGTGTGTGTGTCTGTGTGTGTGTGTGCACCCAGGCTCAGGCGTGGCCCAGTGGCTCCAGTGTCTAGGCGTGTGCTCCAGTGTGTGTGTATTCAGGCCCAGTGCAGGGCCCCAGGGTGCTACAGGTCTGGTGTGGTCTATTTGGGGCGTCAGGTGGCTCAGGCGTGTGGTGTCGTACACCACCGCCAGACAGCTCGCAGCCTCCATGGCACGCGTTCAGGCAGGTTCAGGCAGGTCTATGCAGGTCTACGCAGGTCTATGCAGGTACAAGCAGGCTATAGTCCAGGAAGGCAGGGAGCATCACAGGTCACAGGCACACAGCACAGGGTCATAGAGACGCAGGCCACGCAGAAGGCTGTAGGCACACAAGAGAAGGCCAGAAAGGTCAATACATACGACTGCAGGCAGGGCCATGTGTCAGGTGGCTGCAGAACAGAAGGCCATGTGTGTGTGTGTGTGTGTGTGTGCGCGCAGGCAGGCGCGGGCGCAGCGTATATATACATACATACATATACACATGCATACATGGCGTGCATAGCATGTATACATGTATGTACACACACGCGCGCAGCGCATGCTGAAGCGCATGCGCGCGTGCGCGCGCGCGCGCGGCGGCGCGGCAGGCGGCGCGCAGGAGCACATGCGCGCGCATGGCTACAATGTCGGCGGCGAGCAATCGGGACACATCGCGCGCATGCGCGCATGCGCGCATGCGCGTGTGTGTGTGTGTGTGTGTGTGTCTGCGCAGGTGCAGGTGTTGGTGCGCGCGGTAAAGGCAAAGCGTGGTGTGCTGGTGGGGCGCGTGGTGTGTGTGTGTGTGTGCGCAGCAGTGGTGATTCACACCCTGCGTCGTGAGGCTCATCTCCCTCCAGCCAAGACTTCGCGCTCTCATCAAGCACCGGGAAGCCGTGGCGCATAAAGGCCAGCGCCAGTTCATCCGGGCCAGGCGCAAGTGCGGGCGCGGGCGTGCGCGCGTGCGCGCGTGCGCGTGTGCGTGCGCGTGCGCGTGTGCGTGCGCGTGCGCGTGTGCGTGTGCGTGTGCGTGCGCAGTGCAGTGCGCGTGTGGTGGGCGTGCGCGCATGCATGCGCGCGCGCTGCGCGCTGCGTGTGCGTGGGCGCGTGCGGGTGTGGGTGCGGGTGTGGGTGTGGGTGTGTGTGTGTGTGTGTGGGTGTGTGTGTGTGTGTGTGTGTGCGTGTGTGTGTGTGTGTGTGTGTGTGTGTGTGTGTGTGTGTGTGTGTGTGTGTGTGTGTGGGGGGGGGGGTACGTGCGTGCGTGCGTGCATGCGTGCGTTCGTGCGCGCGTGCGTGCGAGCGTGCGTGCGTGCGTGCGTGCTTGGGTGGGTGGGTGCGTGCGTGCGTGCGCGCGCGGGCGTGCGTGCTTGCTTGCGTGCATGCCTGCGTGCGTGCGTGCATCTGTCTGGCTGGCTGTCTGTCTGTCTGTCTGTCTGCCTGTCTGTCTGTCTGTCTGTCTGTCTGTCTGTATGTATGTATGTATGTGTATGTGTGTATCTGTGTGTGTATCTGTGCATGTGTGTCTATGTGTACGTCTGTGTGTTTATTTGTGTCTAATTTGTGTCTAGGTGTGTATGTGTCTCTGTGTGTCTGTGTACGTGTGTGTGTGTATGTGTATGTTCATGTGTCTATGTGTCTATGTGCCTTGTGTTTTTGCGTATGTGTGTGTGTGTGTGTTTGTGTGTGGGTGTGTATGTGTCTATGTGTTTGTGTGTGGTTGTGTCTGTATTTATGTGTGTATGTGACTATGTGTATGTGACTATGTGTATGGGTATGTGTGTATGTGACTATGTGTGTACGTGTGTGTCTATGTGCGCATGTGTATATGTGTGTATGCAGCTATGTGTCTATGTGTCTATGTGTCTATGTGTCTATGTGTATGTGTCTATGTGTATGTGTCTACGTGTCTGTGTTTGTGTGTATGTGTCTGCGATTCTGCGTGCGTCTGCATGCGCTTGTGTGCGCGTGCGCGTGCTTGACGGTAATTCCTGTTTGTGAGGACGTGTTTGGCTGTAAAAGCTTGACAGCCACACTGCAACACTCCCTACGGCAACGGCACAAATCAGGCCAAACTTCAAGGAGGCAACCGGAGGGAACCGCTTGATGACAGCTTTCGCAGCGTAAGGGACTGCATCCGGGCAATGCGTTCTTGGGAAGAACGTTGGTAGGGAGGTGTCGGAGGCGCCGACGCGCGCCACCAGAAGACAAAAGGCCGCAATTCCACAAATGGCCTCCCCATACAATGTCAACCCGTTTCACGTGGATCAGGACTTCTGCTGGGTATGTGCTTGTTTGTGCTTGTAGTTTGCATGTTTGTGCTTTGGTGTGGCTGGGCTCAAGGTTGGCTTTCCATGTCACTGCAAAAGCCCACAAAAGTATCAAGGACAGTCCAATGCAGTTCGCTCGGTTGACAGGAACGCTTGAACAAACGCATCAGGGACGGCACAAAGAGTTCACAAGAATCAGCCGCCGTTCCTGGTAGCATCACAAATGGCCTCCCCTCCGTGCACACCAGAACCAAGAGACACCCTTGGCGCATCCCCAGCGAGCACTTTAGCGCATCGTCTCGCTGTCATACCCCCAGCAAGTGCTAGAGCAGGTTGCCTTTGCTGGGCGCGTTGGCCTGAAAGACGCGAGCCTTTGCCAGGACAGCCGGCGAAATGCCAGGCTTGGGGAAGCACGTTCCCCCCAGCAGAAGCCTCTGAATGTGCGCCCCACACTCGGCCAGCGGTGTGCAGAAGTAAACACTCCTTGGGTAGGGCCAAACCGCTCTCACAGAGAAACCAAAGGGCAACTACAATGCGCATGCCATGCATGCCTGACTATGTGCCTAGGAATGGCATCACCTTCGTATGCCTTGTCCGGCCGAACCCCATACAATGTCAACCCGTTTCAAGTGGATCAGGACTTCTGCTGGGTATGTGTTTGTTTGCGTGCTTACAGTTTGCATCATTGTATTTTGGTGTGGCTGGGCTCAAGGTTGGCTTTCGGTGTCTCTGTGCATGCCCACAAAAGTATCAAGGACAGTCCAATGCAGTTCGCTCGGTTGATGGGAACGCTTGAACAAACGCATCAGGGACGGCACAAAGAGTTTACAAGACTCAACCGCCGCTCCTGATAGCATCACAAATGGCCTCCCCTCCGTGCACACCAGAACCAAGAGACACCCTTGGCGCATCCCCAGCGAGCACTTTAGCGCATCGTCTCGCTGTCATACCCCCAGCAAGTGCTAGAGCAGGTTGCCTTTGCTGGGCGCGTTGGCCTGAAAGACGCGAGCCTTTGCCAGGACAGCCGGCGAAATGCCAGGCTTGGGGAAGCACGTTCCCCCCAGCAGAAGCCTCTGAATGTGCGCCCCACACTCGGCCAGCGGTGTGCAGAAGTAAACACTCCTTGGGTAGGGCCAAGCCGCTCTCACAGAGAAACCAAAGGGCAACTACAATGCGCATGCCATGCATGCCTGACTATGTGCCTAGGAATGGCATCACCTTCGTATGCCTTGTCCGGCCGAACCCCATACAATGTCAACCCGTTTCAAGTGGATCAGGACTTCTGCTGGGTATGTGTTTGTTTGCGTGCTTACAGTTTGCATCATTGTATTTTGGTGTGGCTGGGCTCAAGGTTGGCTTTCGGTGTCTCTGTGCATGCCCACGAAAGTATCAAGGACAGTCCAATGCAGTTCGCTCGGTTGATGGGAACGCTTGAACAAACGCATCAGGGGCGGCACAAAGAGTTTACAAGACTCAACCGCCGCTCCTGATAGCATCACAAATGGCCTCCCCTCCGTGCACACCAGAACCAAGAGACACCCTTGGCGCATCCCCAGCGAGCACTTTAGCGCATCGTCTCGCTGTCATACCCCCAGCAAGTGCTAGAGCAGGTTGCCTTTGCTGGGCGCGTTGGCCTGAAAGATGAGAGCCTTTGCAATAACAGCGGGATGCTGAACAAAGGTCTCTGGATATGCGCCCCACACTCGGCCAACAGTGTGCAGAAGTTAACACTCCTGGGTAGGGCGACGCTGCTCTCACAGAGAGACCAAGGCATGGCTGACTATGTGCCCAGGACAGGGCATCACCTTCGGAAATCCTGTCTTGTCAGGCCAAACTCCATACAATGTCAAGGTCATCAGGACTTCTGCTGGATGCATCACATTGGTCAATCTGGGCGTGTATGCCGCCTTGTGTGTGTATGTGTGCTTGCAATATATGTTCATGTTTGTTTGCTTGGTGTGGATGGGCTCAAGGTTGGCTTTCCGTGTCACTGCAAAAGCCCAAAAAGGCAACAAGGACAGTCCAATACAGTTTGCTTGGGTTGTGGGAGGGGGCAGCTTGACGGGAACGCTTGAACACACACATCACGGACGGCACAAAGAGTTCACAAGATTCAGCCGCCGTTCCTGGTAGCATCAAATGGCCTCCCCTCCGTGCACACCAGAACCAAGAGACACCCTTGGCGCATCCCCAGCGAGCACTTTAGCGCATCGTCTCGCTGTCATACCCCCAGCAAGTGCTAGAGCAGGTTGCCTTTGCTGGGCGCGTTGGCCTGAAAGATGAGAGCCTTTGCAATAACAGCGGGATGCTGAACAAAGGTCTCTGGATATGCGCCCCACACTCGGCCAACAGTGTGCAGAAGTTAACACTCCTGGGTAGGGCGACGCTGCTCTCACAGAGAGACCAAGGCATGGCTGACTATGTGCCCAGGACAGGGCATCACCTTCGGAAATCCTGTCTTGTCAGGCCAAACTCCATACAATGTCAAGGTCATCAGGACTTCTGCTGGATGCATCACATTGGTCAATCTGGGCGTGTATGCCGCCTTGTGTGTGTATGTGTGCTTGCAATATATGTTCATGTTTGTTTGCTTGGTGTGGATGGGCTCAAGGTTGGCTTTCCGTGTCACTGCAAAAGCCCAAAAAGGCAACAAGGACAGTCCAATACAGTTTGCTTGGGTTGTGGGAGGGGGCAGCTTGACGGGAACGCTTGAACAAACGCATCAGGGACCGCCGCTCCTGGACTTCTGATGAATGGCTTTGCCAGGATGATGGACCACTTAGGGTCTATGTTGCAACCTCCTTCGTTTAGGGTATTGGTTTGTGGGGTTCCAGGCTGCAAAATACCCTCTAAGTGTCCATGCCCCCCCCCCCCCCCCGAACCCCCCGAACCCCCCGAACTACCCGAAGCGCAAGTAGCGCCTGCTCGCGCTGCAGCGCCTTCTTCTCCGCAACACACGCCCGCAGGCGCTGCCGCAGCTCCTCACTGGCTTTGACCGCCGCGCCCCCAAGAACTGCGCAAGGGTCAGGGGAAGGAAGGAAGATGAGGAGGCTCAACCCCGAAAACCAAATGAGCCTGAAACGGAAAGAGTCCGAACTAAGCCGGGGGTGTGTGAGTGTAAGGGGGACAAGATAGGAACACTGTCACAAATGGATCGACTTCTAAACAAGCGTACGTGAACCTGCACAGCCCTCGAGGGCAACTTGCCAGGTTCTGCATCAGGGTCGGGGCCATGGAATGCAACATATGGGCTTGCTTCAAAATGGGTCAGACCTTCAAAATGTCTGGTTTCCCTTTTGAATTCCCTTTGACATCATCGCGAAAGGCCTCCGTCGAAAAGGACAACCCCAGATTGTGACTAAAGCCCGGCGTTGAACTGCGCGCAGAAATTCCATGCCGATGCTCGTGGCAGACCTACAAGGGTGTTTGCAAGAAGACAAAAGGCGCTGCACTTGAGGAAACTGTTCCCCGCAAATAAAAATCATATATAATAAAAAGGTTACCCCGAAAATGGATTGCCTGCGCTTTCCCTTTGGAACTTTCATTGGCAGAGACGCAACGCCAGAGACTAGAAACATCAGCTTGAGCGGTACCATGTCAACCTTGGGAGGTTACATTTGACCAAACCCCACCAAACAACGTCCTTGCGAAGCAATTATTCAAAGAAGTCCCGTATGTGTTTACGTCTTACATCATCTTATGTATTATATGAATACTTTTATATACGCCTTTAAACACTTCTCTTTGCCTCATCTTTATAATTACTGTGTTGAGGAAAACATTGCATTTAGAAGTCACATCAGATTGTGTTGCATTTCTTATTCCTGTGTAAATATCGTATCATCTGTGTAAATAGTGTACATATATCTATGTTTACAGGAATTAATATGTATTGTTGCACTGGGTTTCACTTCTCATAAAATCATTATCTTACGTAAGTTCATCTCATAACATGTCATCTTAATTCATTATTCATTTTTAGGATTCACATTTGATCTAGAGATGCAATAAGAGAACTAACTAAACTCTGGTTGATCATATGTGTCCTTCCTTTTGCATGTGTTCTAGTTTCTGAACTCTATGATTTGTAACCTTCTTTTGGGAACCGTTTCATTTATCTTCTGCAGCTGTAGGGATGTGGCCAGGAGAGCTTTCTAGCTTCAGATCCTTGTGACGAACTTTTGCATCAAATCATCCATATCAAGTCCAATGTCCAGCCTTCAGGCCACCAAAGGGGCCAAAACGCAACAAACCGACAGCTCTGCCGTATGATTCTTTCCGACAGGGTCCAACAGGGAAGCAACATTCGAGCAGGACATGTGGTGCAACAAAAATTACGAATGCTTGCTCCTTGCAAGGCACACTTAAGGACTCCAGGCAACTCAGTGTCTGCCCCCCCCCCAAGAAAAAAACTGCTTGATTCTGGACCGTAGTGCGCCTTTCCAATGAAAAGTCAAACTCAAGTCGCTATGTATCAAACCGAATTTGGACCCGGCGGCTTGGTCCCCGGCCTGCTGCTTCTCTGCATCCCTGAGCTGCTGTAGCCGGCTCCTTCGGAGCTCCTAGCGGCGAAGCGTCGTTCGCGTCGCATGGGATCCCCTAGCTCCCATTAGCTTAAGCCCCGTGGAAATGAAAATATCCAGTAGTGGTAGATTCCCTTTAACACCAACTTAAGCAAATGGAAGCTAAGGATCAGAAAAGGCGAGACGTTTTGGTCAGGTACCCCAAGGGGTGTTCCGAAGTCTGGTGTTCTAGTTCCCGGCGTGTGCGTTCGGCGCGCAAGCGCCCTGGCGCCGAATGGAGAGTCGTTTGGTGTCCTTGGCAATGCGTGGGGAATGCCCCAGGCCAGACATACCCTCCTTTCATGATATCCGCCAGGTCCCTCATCAAACTGACCCTACCAACCCGTGTTTGCTTACTTTAAGGGAGGTGCTGGGATCAGTGTGTGAACTGGAGCCTTACCCGGTTCCTTGAAGGATGCCTTCGAAAACCGCCTATTTTACAAGGGGGATCCCCGAAATCCGCTGATATTCGGGTGTTGTTTCGACTGGCCCAAATCCATGCGCTCAGGGACTCCAGGTAGTTCTTCCCAATAAACCTGAAATAACATAAAGAATCGGATCCCCAGGGAACCACAGGCCGAAGCTCCAAATAGCTCGGTTGCTTTCTGCTCCCCTGCGAAAAGTTTAACTTTTAGTGGTTTAATGGAAACCCATTAGTTGGCAAAAAAATAAAGTCCTAACATCCAAGCAAAATACCGCAAAGATAAGTCGGACCCCCACAAAACGGCCCTAAGCTCGTACCCCCCGAAGCCGCCATAGGCAAAAGCCCGACGCCTGGCTGTCCAGCATCGCCTCCCTCTCCAGCGCCAGCGTCCGGATCCGCCGGTGCAAGTCCTAAGTAGCCGACGGTTCTTGCGAGGCCCAAAACGGGAACGGGGTTCACCGAACCGGACATTTTCGGAGCACAAGTTGGGCTTTGCTTGTTCTTTGGTTGGGCTTTGCTTGTTTGGAAAAGAAACGAAAGCCCAAGTCAAGGGGCTTCCGGAACCTCTCTCTAAGAACTGGTACCCAAGCGAGCGTAAAAGGACCTCCCTGATCTCAAAAGACTAGGCCATCTTAACATGCAGCCGGAAGGGAATTTCATTGCAGTGCATTGTCTTCCTGTCCTGCTCGTGCAGAATTGCATCGATCTCGTCTTGCAAGTAGGCGATGTGCTCTTGCAAGTCCTGCAAGACACCCAGAAAGCCAGCCACACTTTTCCGAACACCTTGGACCTACTCGTTCAAAATCTGTGACGAAAAAATGTGATGTGTTATTCACCAATAAACGGAGACAACAAATAATACAAGTTCAAGGCTTGAAAGTTTGATTTCAGGCAATTGAAGTGGAGGCTTCGCCTGCTCTAATTCTCTCCAGCTACAAATCCTGGCAGCTTGAAGAATTCGGGGCTCCTCGCCCTGGTTGAACTGGCTGGTGTCCCATTCGTTTCCCTGGCAACGCCATCCAAAAAGGTCCCCCAATTTGGGCCTGTGCGTCGATCTCGGCCCCCCCCCCCAGTGAAGTGAGCCTTCCCGCCGATCCATTCCCCGATTTCTCTCGAAACCAACAGCTCGCAGCAAGCGAACATGTTGCCAAATGCACCCGAACCAAAGTTTGCCTCACACAGCCAGGGCAATGCATCCGCGGAATCCGGCACTCTCGCCGTGCCAAAAGCCCCTAGCACCCACCCTGCTATGCCCTTCCCTTCCCCCAGCAATCCACAAGTGCGGTGTCAAACCTGCGCCAACGAAGAGAAAACCTGCAAAAAAAACACGGCGAAGAGGTAGTTGGAACCCCAATCCCGCTTCCCCTCCAAAAGAAGAAAAGAAAGGAACAAGTCCCCAACCCCTTGATCCCTGTCTCCTGGGCCTCGCGCCAGCAGAAGCGCTCCTCGAGTGGCTTGTTTCGATGCTGACACATCGAAACTGGGCCGGTGCTCGGTGCCCTCAGGTCTTCCCGCTTTCCCTTACCAGACCAAAACGCGTCCCGAGAGCCCAGGGCCTTTGGACTCCTCCAGTCACTTGTCGGGGCCGTGGACCCCCCCACTCGTGCGACCCGAGGGAAGAGATTCGGGCGGCAAAGTGAGACCCAAGAAACAACCAAAGGACACCAAAGCAAACCAAACGAAACCGTTTTTTTTCTTCCCAGTTGGGTGGTTTGCTCAGTTGATGGAACTGGAAAAAAAAAGAAGAAGAAGAAAAACAATATGCCCTAGGCTGGGCTCCTCCTCCAGGTCCCTGAGTCGCCGCTCCAGGGCCACCAGCTCCTACCCGAGTCGCGCGGCTGAGTTCCAGTGCCCTGTTCCACGATCCGGGACGATGTTACCCGGCGAGGAAGCTTTTGGCGAGACGCAAAACAAAGCTTGGCAGTCTTTTGGATTCGAGTATTTATGCTACAATTGTCAATTGCCTCATATTGGTTCTCCATCGCGAGGAGACAAATTTGACAAGCACCCGGAGAAGCAAACAACTCACGACTCCCCTCGCCAGTCCCGAAGAAATCAGCTTGGTTGCTTGAAATAAGTGACCAAGAGCCAGCAGGGCTTTGAAGCAGACAAGGGTCTCGTCGATTCGTGCTGATGCTGGCTGGTGTACCCATGACACCGGCCCACAGGCACCGACATGGCCCGACCCAAGAGACCGTGCCGAAGCACGCCTGCCGGTGGGGATTCCGCGGCGCCGCCTCGGGGATGGGTACCTCAACAGATCTGAACTCTCAAGGGGAACTCATGCCATGGCGCTGGAACACGTGGCATCGTACCCCCAAATCCGATGGCTCCTCTTCGTTTCCTCTTTGCCTTCAAAAAGCCCGCCATTGAGAGATCCCAGCAAGAGAGCGTATTCCTGGATATATATATATATATATATATGAAAGGATGGAGCAGCGTTTCAAGAGTGGACCACATCACCAGCCATCAGATCGTCGTCACTCATTTCAGTATAAATGCATCATATTCCTTATGCATCATCATGATGGTTTGTAGCTATAGATTCCACTTCGGCTACGTACAGAATGTGTGATACTGGCATGGCCATTGTCCAGTAGTTCCACAGATTGGTGGGCAACAGTCCAAAACTGGCCGCCAAATGTGGAGCGACAAGCGAGCAGTAAAAGAAGCTTCGTCGCGACATAGATACGTGCTGGGTGGTTTTGTTGTTTTTGTGTGTGTGTGTGTGTTTTTTTTTAGGGGTGTGAGTACCGTGAAGTCTGTGACGTCTTCCTAACCCTTCCCAGCCTCCCTACCCATCCGCCCGTCCAGAGATCGCTCAAAAACAAGGAACGAACAGAATGCAGCAATTCTTCACACCGTGGGCACGCAGTCCCATATTGCCACCAGAGTCTGTGGCCCCGTGCGCGGGATGTTAGGGCCAACTCGTCCCGCGCCAAAGCCTCCTGCGCAGACCATCGACCCACGTGCCGATTGAAGGGCTCATAACCACCTTCGCAACCCCCAATAAGCCTTTCGATTGCGGCACAAATGCTTGCTTGTCGATCTGCCTGTCTCCATGCTCTGCCTGTTGATGGCTCCTTGCCAACCAGCAGCTCAAACTGGCATCACGCACAACTGCCCAAGCGTCCACCCCGAGACCGAACACTCCCTGTCCTCCTGCTCTTCCTCCAGCCCCCGGCGCCACCAGAAGCGCTTCAGCTGCAGATTCCGCCGGCGAGCACCTTGGTAGTCCCTTAGGAGAAAACCGACGGGCGTGAAGGGAGCCGTGGGATTCATGGGCACTACCCAGATTGTAAGGAACGCAAATAGCCGGCCAGGTGGCGGTCTGCTCAACCCTTGCGCGGATCAAGTGTTCAACAAGTTCAAGGAGGGCATAAGATTGCGCAGTTCCGAGACATAGTGCTTGTGTCCTTGGGATTCGAAGCAAGCATGTGAAAGGCATGAGATGCTATAAAAGAGGATCCTCATGGAGTCAAACAAGCTGCGTAATTTCAGTTGATGTGTGACCGGCCGTGTGGGGTCCCAAGTGCCGAGGCGCAACCGAGCCCGTCACGGACAAGCCCCAATGCAGGCCAGCGGACAAACTAAGTTTCAACCCACGGCGCCCAAATCCATGTTCCAGCTGCCTCCTGCCGTGAAGCGAGCCAACCCCTCAAGCCCCGCCCAAGCCCCCTATCAAAACCCGCGCTCCCCACCCTTCTTGCCAGCTGCCCAGATTCCCCACGCCTGGCCCGGGAGTAAGAAGGAAGCCTCCAAATGAAATGGCGCGTCGGCAGCGAGGCTTTTACAACAACAAGAGATAACAACGCTGTCACTGCAACTCCGCTGCATGCGAAGCAAAGACACTCACCGTCCCCGGCGCTCCTTTGGTGCTCCTTTTTGGAGTCTCCATGCAGATTGCACTTCTCTGCGCGCCTGCATCGGGTCGCGCGACTTTGGCGCTTTGAACCCTCAGAGCGCAAGCCGAGACTGAGGCCATTGTTGTCAAAGGCTCGCCCTCAACAGCTGCACCACCTGCGGACTCGCCCGAGGTCCCCGCACCCGCTCTAAGACATGATTCCATGTTCCCCAGCACTTTCCAGGAACCTCTGGCAGCCTCTGGACCTTCTCGAAATTGCCGGAACCTCCCGAACCTCACCGCAACCCTCCAGGAACCCACCTCTGTTTTTGCGGGTGTTCTTTTGTTCTTGGGGTCCACGAACTTGATCAAATGAGTCCCCGCATGGCTTAGCTAACGGTCGAACTGTCCTGAGAAGACATGCTGTCTTTTCTACACGTACCTTCTGGTTGGCCACAGAGACGCGCACCAATGGAACGCTTCATGCCATCCAAACGCTGGATCGCACGCGCAACACCCTCTCGAAACAGTTCTCACTAATGGAATGGCTGTGAGGTGATTCTATGCCCACCGTTTACCTGGTGCACTTCCGGTTGGGGCTGCAAAAACAGGCTTTTTCCCCGCATCTTCACACCTCGTGCTTCCCGTGCGGCGGACGGCAATCCTCTTAGGCATGCCTGCGGAGAATAGCCCTTTCTCCCTTTCGATGAAGACCAACTTGGTATCATAGAAAATTGGCCACCGCCTCATTTATAAGCGGAGAATTGTACCTGGGGTCTCTTTTCTGCCCTTATCGCCTTGGTTCAAAGGGGGACCAAAAGCAAAGCCACCGTTTGGGGGTCGAACATTGTCTGGGATCAAGCGTCTTCATTTTGTTGGTGCTTCTTCTTTCGTTCTTTTGGCGGGGGGAGGGCAGAAACTGAGTCTCAGGCATCCTTAAGTGTCCCTAAGGAGCAAACTGTCCTTTTCTGTTCAGTTTCTGCTGTCTCACCTCTACCCATGGCCCCATGCGCCGGCTCGGCCTGGCCCCATGGTCCTCGCCTCCCCGTGCCCCGACACCGCGGCGGCTTTCAGCGGGCTGTCCCCGTAGCGGTCCGCGCGCAGATCCGCGGCGGCCGCGAGCAGCGCCTTCACCGCCGGCAGATGGCCTCCGCTTCCCCGACGATTTCCGCTCCCGACGATTTGCTTGCCGACGGCTCGACGACGGCTTTCCGACGTCGAGTCGCTCGAAGGTGCGCGGCGCGAACTTCGGAGACCGACTTCCACTTCCGCGCGATTTTCGGGGGCTGGGGGGGCGGAAGCCTCGGGCGCTTGTGAGGCTTTTGTGGAAAACGGTCGATGGGCTCCAGCGGAAATGGAATTGGTAGAACAGGGCGGAGTATGAAGTTCTAAAGCGACCTAAAGCAGACGCCTTCCGCTCGCTTCAGCGTGAAAGGAGGGCTGTTGGGGCCGATCTGAGGGCAAGTCGCTGCCCGGTTTGAAGGTCGTTGAACCAGCGCTCCTGGTTCAAAAGCCAAGGCGTGTAGCTGCGGTGTTGGGCGATCTCCTCCAAACAAAGGCAGCTAAGAAAATGTGAAGGATTCAAAGTTTTGCTTCGGACCGGTCAGTGTTCGAACAATCTCCTTTTGGGCTCCCTTCAGCACGGGCAACGGGCAAGGACAAGAAAAGTCGACACCAAGTGCGGGCTTCCAGGCCGATCATGGGCCATCTCCCCGACTCCCCGACTGGTCTGCGCTTCTGTGTTTCAGATTGGGCACTCTGCACAAAAAGAAACAAACTTGTGGCGCAACCCCTTCATGAAATGCATGTCACGATTTGCCCATGTGCATTCCCAAGCAGGCCCTCATTCTGCCACCATCTCCTTTGCCTTCGCCCTCGATGTTTATAGACTGTGCCCACATTGAGGTTCCAGCAAGAGTTCGTCTATGCCACTTGGCTTGAATGCAACCTGAAAAGGTGCCATTTGCTGTTTGAGGGCATCGCTTTAGCTTCGCATTGTTGGATCTGCCCACGTTCTTGGATGTTTCTCAAAATAGTGGCCCTCCACCATTCTGGGAAGGCCTTTTCGCAAGGTGTGAAAAGAAAGCGCAAAAGAAACCAACTACCAGGCTGAACCAGACGGATCCGACCCCAAAGTTGACTGTTTGCCAGCTAAAGGGGAAATGAAGGAAACCCAGGGCAAAACGGCAAACAGGCGAGCTGAGTCCAAGTCCCTCATTTTGAGCAAGCCGTCTACAGGCAAACCCCAACCCGCGCTCCACCGCGGGAAGCGCCGCCTTCGGAGGCGGCGGCATGCAGCGGGGTGCGGCCGTGGCTGTCCGTGCGGTTGCTGTCCGCGCCCAGCTCTGTGAGCACCTCAGCCGCCGATGGACCCATCGGCGAAGGACTTCCATCGCGCGCAGAGCTGCACCGGCTTTTGCTTGGGACCGTTTTGGTTGTGGGAAATGGGCCAAAATGAGCCGCCTGCTCAAAACCCGGGATTCAAATGGTCGTACTCCCAGAACCATATAAAGAATTGAGAAGGCGGATACCCGCAGCTATGGCTGGGAGTATCCGTTACTAACCTTCATCTACCCGGGTTTTGATTGTGGCTCACCTGTTTTTGGTTGGGACCGTCCCTGAATCTCGACTTGCCAGCGGCTTGATTGTGGCTAAGTCGGGAGTTAACAGGGGTTGTGGGGATCAACAGGAATCCCTCAAAGGAAACTAGGGATGGTCCCCTCGTCTGCCGGGAATCCCCAGCCCCCAAGTGGAATTCCATGGAAAAAAGGGTTTAGTTGCTGAAAGAATCTGTCTAAAACAAAGCTCCCTTGTCAAACCACGATGGTGGGCTGGGACCCTAGTTCCAAATCATGAACTCTGGACGCCCTTAGGTTTGTAGCTGGAGGAAATGATATAAAGTTACAAAAAATGGCATGGCCCTTCAAGTTTAGAGAGCCCTTTCTGAAGCGGGCTCTCGGTCAGAAGATTGCGTGCAACTGAACTGCTGAAGCTCGAGCGTTGTCTGACGGCGGTGCCAAGTGGGGCCAGCTGGACCTCTATACGTAATTGTTCACATATTATTGATTTCCTTCTGATCCCTACAAGGATCTCAGACTAGTTTTTGACACAACTCCAAGGTTCCCTTAGTGCATCTGAAAGTAGACTCGCCTGCACTGGGCTGCATTTTGTGCTCGGTTGATCTGAATGACAAGTCAGGTAGTGTGTTGCTGACTGGCAGTGGCTGGAACTGAACTGGGAGCATGGGGCAGCGGGCTTGCTTGACTTCCTGATTCGACTCCCCAATCAGGTCGCTTAGCTGTATGCTTTTGGCAGAGCCAACACGAGTTGGCAGCAAACTCATGCCGCAAAAGTCACAAATGTCGGCCGGAGTCATCTCCCTCAGCCCATGTTTAACCACAACCACTTGGCCAACGTTTAGAGGCCAACTTGCTGCTGGTTTTGAGCTCAACATATCCGGAAGGAGACTTGTCAAAAATTGATTAAAAGGCGTGGAGATCAACAAACCAACCCAAGTCTGGGCTTTCAGCTGTCCATGTTCAGTCCATGGTCACTGCAACCCAAAAAGGTGAGGTTGCGGTTTAATGTCCAGGCCCCCCGCAAGGAAAAATGCTGCAACAAAGCTTCAGAACTCCACCCCTCCATGAAAAACCTGCCTTCCAACAAAGCAACAACGCTGGCCAAGCGGCACAAGGCGACCTGTTTCATCAACTCCGCGCAAAATGAGTCGCAATCAAAACCCGGTACAAAAATGGTGAACCCAGAACCATGAAAAGGATGAAGAAGGCGGATATCCGCAGCTATTTATGGTTTTGATCGTCCCTTACTAGCCTTCATCTACCCGGGTTTTGATTGTGGCTCATTTGGAGGATGGCACACATCTGGCCATGATAACCTATGGCTCCATTTGCTCAAATGGGGGTTCCAACCCTCTCTCCTCCTCTGCCTCTCCCCGCAGACCGCCGCTCCTGCACCGTCTCCAGCCGGCCCTGCTGCGCGGCCAGGTGCAGCGGCGTATGGTTCTGCCCGTCCGGCACGTTGCTGTCGGCGCGGCCCTGGCGCGAGCTGACCGTCGCTGCCATGTTCAGCCAAAAAGTTTCAGCGTTGTCCGAAGGCCCAAATCTCACCCCTTCCCTCCTCTTCCCCCTCCCTCCCCCACACCATGGGTTCTGGCTCATCAAAAACCCACACCATCGGTTTTTGCTCGTTTTCCCCTGGTTTGGGCTCCTTCCCCCTCCCCCATCCCACCGCTTGGACGCTTTTTCTGCGCCCCGCGCGTTCTGAGGCCTCGCCTCCAGGAGCCGCCGCACCGCAGAGGCGTGGCCCTCGCGCGCGGCCTCGTGCAGCGCCGTGCGGCCCTGGGCGTCCTAGCTTCGCTCCGGA